AAAAACAAAAATAGATAATAGATACTTTAAATACCTAATTGTGTAGGTAAATAATGTTTCAACAACAGGAATATTTTAAAATACATTGGGGCATTACAAATATTTTTAACTTAATACTATTGTAAATATTATCAAGGAAATAGTTAGGAATAGAAATGTTAGGAAAGTTTTAAAACATCAAAATATGCTTATATTAATATAGGAGAGTATAAAATTGGGGTTACAAGTAATGAAATGTATAGTGTATATTGGGTTGCCGCCTATCATTGAATTATAAAGATAAAAATTCAATTTTTTGGTCTAAAACCTCCGGAAAATAACAAAACACACTTTGAATAATCAAAATATTAATTTTCTTAAAATATTTTTTGTCTTGCAAAAGTAAATTCCACCGTGGCTGATTAATGACAAAAGTCATTAATTAATTCTACGCAAAACACACAGTTCTTCACTATGGTCGCGCCAATGTGCACAAACAAGTTATTCGGATACCACAGCGCTTATTAATCGCGAATGCTTCCCAGTGACAATCGAAATGCGTTCCTGTTCCAGGTGGTCCCCGACCGAGTGCATTTTGTTATGTTTCGTTTTGTCTCCGTGTGGTGATTCGTAAATATGTACCTACCACCGGCGAATTTTGCACGCACAAATATTCCTTCAATTTCAACTTTCAAACTTGAAATTTTGAAATATTCGGTGCGGTTTTTTGAATGCGCTTTTTAAAATATTTCGAATTGCTTCAGTTTTTGGTATTCCCAAAAGGAATTGCATTCATTTCAGCAATTCGTGTATTTTGCTCCTTTGAATTGTAATTTCGCAATTAATTAATATGACAAATATAATAAGCAAAATAATAAGTAATTACTGTTTAAATTATATGCTATGGGCTCGTCTTATAATGAGGATTACCGTTAAGTCTAATTAAACATGTGATAAAGCCTAACAGTTTGTGCAATTTAAGTCACAACAGCAGGTGACTGTGATTGTTATACAGACAAGTTGAAATTTTGACATGAATTATAGGGCGAACCATTTTAATTAAATTTATTTGCCTTTTTGGTAACTGAACTGAACATATTCGTGCCCCAATACAACATAAATAGGTTTGAGGTTCCTTAATTTATTTTAGATAAAACTTCTTGGAAGTCAATCGAAACATGTACCATAATAACTAATTGCGTACTGTGTGCCACTGCTTTTTAAAATATTGCGCAGCCTGCAGTCACCAGGGTCACTTGTGCTTCTCGACATGTGCGCGTTCATGACCACGAGCAATTACACAAATGACGACCGATGGCTATACCATTCCCGGTTCGGGCTGAGCAATAGGTACATATTTACATAATGCACGCCAAAACGAACATGCTCATTACCACCATTGCTATCAACTTATGCAGGGAATAAACCTTTACTGAGATTTGTCACGTGAGAGTTTAGAGGTTATGAATCGCAGTACTACCAATTTAAATTAAAAAAATCACTAAATTTTCTATTAAATTGCCAAAGAATAAAAAATAATTCAATCTCAATTGATATAGAACTAATTTTAATTTGTTTGGAATTTTCTAATTAAAAACTACATTCATAAATAAACTTTTGACGATAAAAAACAGTTAATACATAAAACTAATAAACATATCAAATTATAAACTAATTGCAATCAATAACGAATCGCCAGGTGCTACACACAAACGCAGCTAAACCAAAACGAAAATTAACTTGTACCAACCAACACATTAATCAATCATTAATTAATTCTCGTGTTTGTTTATACATTTAAAGAGTCAAACAAATACGGTATTAATGCGTGCGCTTTACTAATCAAGCTCATCGAATATTTAAAAATTAAAATAATAACGTACGATAATAAATTATATTGCGAGATTGAATATTAGCCTGCCGTATGCTTGCCGCATGTGTGCCTGCTGCTAATTATGTTAATGCCTGTGTTATTTATTACGAAAAGAATTAACGTGCGTGATTGTTCATAAATAAATATTGCTTCTAATACTTATAATATTTATGAATCGGAGATAATAAGTTAATTATCAGTAGGTTCCGGCGTTAAATTTTCGATAGTTTTTTCTGGAAGCACGCATTAAGAAGTATTTAAAATATAAATCAGCTTTATGTCTGCACAAACCGTTAAATTTTAATTTTAAAGTTTTTTTTAGAGGTTAGATTCATGTAATGCAGTATTAAGTTACTTAGGCAAATCGAAAGCTGTATATTTGGTTGCAGTTGTTGAATGTAGCAAAAGAAGCGGTTAATAAAGGAAAATATTTACTTTTACTTAATTTATATAAGAAAACTTATTTATATATTGATTGAAGATTATCCAGAGTGATTGTGTGAAATGCAAGCAAAGTATAATAACCTTGCCGCATAAATTATATGAGCAAACAGTTTGTCGACAAATAAAGAGCAATAAAAACGAACGTGTAATCGTCTAAGTTGTTGAGGGCGTAGAGTGAACACAACTACACACTACTCGTGTTTAAATAAGTACGTACAGGTTTTTAAAAGATCGAAGATACCAATAATTCCAATATACATACTCCCATACTCTCTTTGTTGTCGTTTTTTTTTATCGACGCGCCAGCAAATTGTGTGGGAGAGCTGGGAATAACATTTCCGAAACGTGAGAATGTTGATAGCAGTAAAATAAAAATGTCGCAACATCACGTCGTGTAAATACGCTCATCACACATGATTATATGATTACATTATTAAGTATTACATAATAATTCGAATCTCTATAGTCGAATAAAACGAAATAAATTTACACCGTGTTACAAGAGTCGGTGGATGCAAAACCGTCGATGCATTAAACTCGCCAACAAATTTACATGTTTCTGCATTAGATTACAGAGTTGGTCGTGGTGTGGCGGTGTACTTTGGTTAATTGCCGGTCCTGGCGTGCATCTGAATTGCTAAATGAAAGTTGGTTGTAAACGCGACATGATAATATGGGTGCACGTGTGGGTCCGCGTTTAATTACACGAAGTAATTAATTCTGGGCGCGTCTCTGCGCCGGGCACTTCGGACAATGATTACCGATTTAATTGTGAGTGTCTCCGGCAGATACCGTTTCGTCAGCTCGAAATTGGATTGATATCACGGCGCAACTAGCGCGGCTACACCCATTGCAATTTAGATGCCACTTAAAACAATTTTACCAAGTGAAAAACGATTAAAATCCGCCATTGTAATCGATTTTACATGATTATTTTGTTGTTTTATGCGTGTTGAAGTGGAAAATATTCATTCAATATAGGCAACTGAATAAACACTGGCTCCTTGAATGAAAACGTGAGAAAAAATAACTTTACAACCAGGATGTAATCCCCCAATAATAAATTGCAGTTTAACTAAATATTGACCGTCTATTTGACATGCCAAACATGTCAACATCTACCTTCTACTTCCTTATCACCATCTATTCATAACAATTTCACTTTCAAATCCCGGCTACCATGCTCATAATGAATCCTGTGTGAAATTTATAAATTTAAACCGGGAGCTAGACTCCGCGCAGCCACCTGTTGTACACAACCATGCGCGTTCCCATTACGAGCGTGAGAACTTCGGAGAATTTTCAATAATCGATTATGTTATTATCTACGCAATTGCGTAATAAGGGTAACAATGACGAGATAACATACGCACATTTCTATAGTCCGAAGGTATTTTGGTATTGATTAGAAGACAAAAAGCTTGGTTATGTTGTCGACTCATAACCATTTGCGGCGGTTTTCGCACGCGCATTTTTCTCTAATCGTTATTAATAAGACAGTTGGTATGTGCGCAGAATGTCGGCATCCATCAAGGAGAGACAAAGCTGCTGAAATCGCTGCGCATCAATTGTTGACGAACAGGTGCATTTTACCCACGTTTTAATTGTTTTCCAGACTATAAAAATAGTAGAACGATTAATACTTAGTGTTTCAGAAGAAAATTATCAGTAAAAATCAAGTTTTTATTATTATGACAATGCGGGTTGATGTAGTCATGATTTGAGTTAATGCTGAATAAAATCAGAACGCAATCTACCTAATAGAAACCCAATAATTTTTAATAGCCGAATTGTTGACATTCCCGGATCGGACGTAATTTATTATCATGGCACGGCGTAGTTGTGCACTTTAGTTCAGCACGAACGCATAAGTGAGACGCGCAGCTTCCTTTCTGTGCGTGTCATCGACTTTAAGAAGCAGCACAAAGACGCCGAAGTATTTGTATTTATTTTTATTGTCGGTGTACTAGTTGTGATCGATCGGAGATTATCGCCAAGTCTCTTCTCTTTTCGCTCCAACCAAACCGATCGTTGTTGATTTTTTGTAGTTGCGGCACAAGCTTTTAACTTTAAGTTAAGTTAACTTAACTTAAGCAGTATAGTTTCATTGCGTGCAATAAACGTCACTCAGATTTCTTCAAACGAATAAATCGTCGACGACGCTATCACCGGTCACCGATCACCCGCTATACTCGGGAATCATTTCCATTGTAGATTTGTGGATTTCTAACGAAAAAAACACAAGCAGCGTGTACGTGAAATGCGCATGCGCAGCATCTAACAAAGTAATTTACCGCAGGCACATTAATTAGAATGCAGGAAACAAATCCACCGCGCGCATTAAGATGCAAATAAAGTAAAACGCCAAGTAAATCTTTTTGGTATTCGCCAATGCGCGCTCGTTTTTCCTCCAGCAGCGAAGACTGTTCAAGGAATATAATTCGACGTAGAAAAAAACGCCAAGTTGGGCATTGCGACGTATATAGCCGATGAGCAGGTGCCTTACTATATTCCGTATTCCACGTACTTGGCACTTTTTTGTCGCTGACCGAATGGCCGTTTATGCCATATTTACAAGTCAGGCATCATCGCAATTCTCGTTTAATTTAGAAGCCTACGCGAGATAAACTCCGCACACGCGTGTTTTTTGCTACCCAGTGGTCGCGAACGCGCAAGTTTCGTTGCTTGATTAAATTATAGCCAGTTGTCATTTAACTATTTATGTGTTTATTAATCCTTTGGGGACGGCACGATTTGAATTATATGGTTTTGATGTGCGCTGAAGATAGTCGCAGCGGTTTTACAATGTTATTATATTCTCGGAAATGCACAACACGTTATTGATGGTGTTAATAAAATGTGCTACGCTTGAATTAGCACGCTAATATTTGTTGATAACTCGGCCGGTAATAAAGTTTAATTAAAATAGGCGGAGTATACGGAGTATAGAAATTATCCTTTGCGCACGTAAATGCGAAAATAAAGTGTAGCGGAAAGGTAAATATTGTGCAGGAATTAAGTTATTTAGTTAAAATTATGCAACTGCATAAAACAAATAACACATTACAAAACTAATGCACATTTGCATACAGTATTACGATTCTATCATTAGCAGTAAAATTTGTTGGTCGGAACAAACATAATTGTAGATGGAACTAAAAATCCAATTTACGATTATCTCTCAACTTGTAATACCCTTCGGGACCTAGATATCTCATCAATCTGCAACACAATTGTTTTAGCAAGAAAAAACGAATTAATATTCTGCACTTACGCGCTGCAAATATTAGGAAAATAGGTAATATACAGCAATGGTCAAAACGGAAACAAAGCCATCCATGATTCATTCAGCTGATTCGCGATCGTCACCGCACACAATTCTCCACATCGTTCGGCCTTCATGCGATGATCTGTTGGTTGAACCTTGATACCAAACATCTGCCGAAAATCAAAAGTCATATTATTCTTAGATAATTATTGTAGGAGATAAGCCAAAACTTACAACACCGGGTTGTTCCGTAAACGAATGTTGTAAAAGTTGGTGAATACAGTTCCGGGGCAAATTACACTCACAGCAATATTAGCTCTTAACTTTTCATTTCTTAACGCATTCATGTATCCCTATAAAAAATATTAATAAATTATTAACAAATTATTATAAATAGAGATATACGTGTAATGCATGTTTTGAACCAGTATAACTAGCTGAATGCGGCACGCCAAAACGCCGGCCACGCTAGACGTACGTCACCACGTGTCCTTTTCGTATTCAGTAAAATGTGCCAATGCAACACGCGTCAAGTTAATCACCGAAAATAGATTCAGTTCAAACATTTCCTTATCAACTTGCATCGCGATTCTCTCCCAGATACCACGCTGTGATCTGCCCGCATTATTAAAGATGACATCAATGGTACCAAAATGATCAACAGCAGTTTTGAAGTATTCCTCGTGTTTATCTAACTTCAACATGTCCATTTCAAGTACTAAAACGTCTTCGGCACCAAGTGCACCATTCGATAATTGGAGGCATTCTTGTTTAACGCGATCCAATTCGATTTTCCGTCTCGCGGCTAGTACTAATTTCACACCGCGTTTGGCAAACGCGTAGGCGGTGTGTTCACCAATACCACTTGATGCACCAGTTATGAAAACCACTTTGCCTTTTAAACTTTCTATAAAATATAATTCGTTTCAATATGAAATCATTGTGTTGTTATTGCTACGCAACTTACCAATTGGTTTCCCGAATTTTTCATGGTATGCTAAACTTAAATCACAATCGAAGTAAAAAACTGAGAAGACATACACCAGAGTGTATACGATTAATGCCGCACCGATTATTGCAAGTAGCCATAACATCTTAACAGCCTGACAAGTTGTGAGTAAAACTAATTTTAGCGCTTATAATTTATTTACCACCGGATTCCAATGACTACTCAAAGTTCAGCGATAAAAGTTTACGCTGATTATGCGTTGTTTAAGGTCATTAATTCATAGACATTTATTTTTACAAATAATTCTTTTAATTGTCACTTTTTGAATATAAATTTATATAAATTGACACAGTTGATAAGAACATTGTAATCTAGAGTTCAAAATGCGTTCGATGAATAAATGCACAATTTATTAATGATATCGATCATGCAGTGCTTGAATGGGTCTGGTGTCTTAAAAGTTAAGAAGAGATAGTATGGAATATGGCGATTGTTATAGAAAGAATTGGTCAAGACACCCATAAACCAGTAAGAATAAAAAACCATAACCAAATTTGTACCATTTATATGCGCTTTTGTTCCTGTAATCATAAAGAAAGTCAAGCCGTGTGTTTCGTTGTGAGTTATTCGTTGTTAGCGATGAAATGAATCATAAACTTATTAAGAAATTGTATTAAATGCGAAAAGATTAAATAATGCACTGTGTAGAGTAGAAGGCAAAAATGAGTAGAAACTTAAACATAAAACTAGTAGAAAATGCAAAAAATACAAATAATCTCAAAATAAATGATAAGCGAACTTAGACTTAGATGTGTTGTACCTCGACAGAACTCAACTGCGGTGCTTTGCTGTCACGTAATTTGAACATTTTCTCAGGTCCCAAAATTTTCACACCCTGCAAAACATTCATTAAATAAAAGTAAATCAAATATTACATTCAAATCAAAACTTACAAATGGAATATTAATGGAAAATAAACAGCGCAGTATGTGATGGGCATTAAAGGAAACATAGCCATCCAACCTTCCTTGATTTTATTGGCAATGCCAATGGCACATAATTGACCACAGCGTTCGGCTGTTAATCGGCGATCAGTCGGCTGAGTTGTAATTCCATATTTCTAGTATAAATAATCGAAAAGAAATCCAAAAAATAGAAAATGGAAGAATTTCAAATAAATGTTCAGTTTCAGATCCAAACAATATAAAAATAGTTGCTAGCAAGAGTAAATAAACAACACAGAATAAAAAAAGTGATAATGTAAACGTAAACGTAAAACATGTTGAAACATGTTAAATATGTTGAAAATATTTCAAGAAAACAATACATGATGCGACATCTGTTGGAAAAGTATGCTACTTTGAAAAGGAGCATGCGTCAGAGTGGCCTTGATAGTAAGTGGAATTTGAATTTTTGCAATTATCCAAATTGTCAATGCGCTCAAGAAACAAGTACAATGTGCTTACCTCACCAGGTTTATCAGTAAAACTTTCCTGTAAAAAGTTTGTAAAAACAGGTCCAGGGCAGAATAAACTCACTGTAATTCTTTTCCCCATCTTTTCATTCCTTAATGAATTCATATACCCCTAAAATATTAAAATATATAATTGAATATCCATTTTAGTGTATGTTTAACCATTATTACATGAATTGCATGTTTAGCACCAGTATAACTCCCTGAATAAGCAACACCAATAACCCCAGCTAAACTAGAAGTAACAGCAACATGTCCTTCTCCTCTCTGATTGAAATGTTCCAGAGCAACTCTACTGAGGTTAATCACAGAAAAGACATTCAATTCAAAGAGGTCTTTATCAACTGTAATATCTATATTCTCCCACATTGCCCTCTGGGATCTGCCTGCATTGTTAAATAGAACATCAACATGTCCAAAATGTCTGATTGCATTTTGAAAATGCATTTTGTGTGAAACCAAATCACACATATCCATTGCAATAACCAAAACATCACTGTCTATTAAACTTCCATTTGATAATTCTAAACATTTTCTTTTTACTCTTTCAAGTTCATTTCTCCTTCTGGCAGCTAATACAAGCTTAACTCCATGTTTAGCAAGAGCATAGGCTGTATATTCACCAATTCCACTGGATGCTCCTGTTATAAATACCACTTTGCCTTTGATTCTACCTGTTATTAAATTTTAAGACATTAATGCAAACAAATATTTAGAAACTTTTTTAAAACTTACTTATTGATTTACCAAAACGCTCTAGAAATGCTAGATTTAAATCGCTATCCACCAAACATAAGGCGACTAAATATATAACACCATACGTAAAAACGCCCGCACCAATTAATGCCCAAAACATTTTATTTAGCAGATTCTTATTAGCGCTTTATTTAGCTCCAACTTTTGTGCACTTTGCACTATGTTCACTTGTAAACTGAGTAATAAACCAAAATTCTTTAGGTTAGATAACTTTCGAACGCGATTTGTGTTATGTTTTAATTTTACGCATTTAACCACCCACAAGGAATATTAATAAAACATGACTGGCATTTGCTGAGGACACGATTGCACTGTGCGCTCCTGAGCAAACCAACGCAGCTTTGTTTACATTTAATTATCTCACATCAGCGCCGTATGTGATTAAAACTCGCAGTCGGTCATGTTTTATCGTTAAATGAACGCATTTAGATAATAGTTCAAGTACTGGAACTAATTTAACATACACTGAATTGAATTTACATTCATTGCTTTACGGTACAAGGTAATTTAAGTTTATATAACTTTGCAATGCATTATTGTAACGTAATATGTTGGTAATTACTTTTAAAAACACGAATAGAAACGTACATTTTATTGGAGTAGGCTCTGTTTGAGCATTTGCTGTTTATTGGGTTGCATACAATTGGCTCGCTTTCATCGCTTTCAATGTGCGGTTGTTAAGGTTATAACAATCACAATCGCATAAGAGAAAATAAATTTAAAAAGATGCTTTCCAATAAACTGATATTTACAAAACACGTTAAATCATGTGTGAAAGCTACGTATCAATGCCTGTCAACAGTCACACAACCACTACCCACAGAAAAATCAGGTACACTAATTAAATGATTCCACAAACTTCTTAAAACATTCTAAATCTAAAACTTAAATGTTTCTAGTTGAAGAAACCAAGGAAACCAACATCCTGAAGCATCCAGACTACTTCCAAGTGCATAACTTATTCACAGTCAAAGATTTATTTGATGCAAGAGTTCACTATGGTCATAAAGTTGGGTCTCTAGATGAGAGAATGTTGCCATTCATCTATGGCTCTAGAATGGGTCATACCATCTTTGATTTGGATAAAACTGCTCAATATCTAAGACATGCTTTAAATATTACTGCACATATTGCTTATAGAGAAGGTATTATCCTGTTTCTGCACAGAGGTGCTCAGAATATGCACTTGGTTGAGAGAACAGCCAAAGAATGTGGGGAGTATGCACATACAAGATTTTGGAGAGGTGGTATTTTTACTAATGCAGATAAGCAATTTGGTGCTGTTACCAGGCTACCAGATCTTTGCATTTTCTTGAACACATTAAATAATGTCTTGCTACAGCATACTGCTATAAGGGATGCTGCCAAAATGGCTATTGCAACAGTTGGTGTGGTAGACTCTAATTGCAATCCTAATTTGATTACTTATCCTGTGCCTGGCAATGATGATTCACCAGCTGCTATTGAATTGTATTGCAAATTATTTAAGGCAGCAATTTTAAGAGGCAAAGAGAAGAAAAAAGAGCATTTGAATCAGAATTAGTTTGATATAGTCATTATAGCTGAATAAATTTAATTATAAACTATGTTTAATTGAATCATCTATTTCTATTGGATTAGTATTTGTAAAACAACCAATTTTCCTAATGTTTGCCAATTTCAAACAACAAAATAATATTTGTATATCCATTATTATCCTCTCAAAAAAGTAACATAACCTTAGTGCATAAGGTAGTGCATCAAAACATTCAACATCATAACTTAATTTATCAAATAAACTATAAAATGCTTATTAAACTGATACTAATATCCTAGTGTTTCATAATGAACGGTTTAATAAGCGCAGATATTATTCAGAACGACGTTCAGGTACAGGAATATCTCTTAAACTCATTTTTACCTCAATGTGAGCCACTTTATTCCGAAGTTGATGCTACCTGGACCCTTGAAAATGTCCCAATCTACCTCTCTGGGACACAAACACTATCCCTACAACACCCAGAAGAGAATTTGGAAAATGCCACAGAAGTTGACAGTGAGTCAACAAATCTAAATGCAATTACCTCCAGTATTTATCTGCCAAATGTACCCAATAGTAAAATACAAGTTTTGGAAGAGAACTTTTTAAATAATTTTAATAATCAAAACCAGAAGTTAGTTGTTAATGACACCACTACTAGTATTAATGATCAGATTGAGATTGTATCTGCACACAAATGCAAACTCTGTGGTCAATTATTTGAAAGATATGATACAATCATATCTCATATACAAAATGCACATCAGGCACATACTAAGCTGAAGAAAGATGAGGAAACCAAGAATTTATACTTGTGTGGCAAATGTGATGAAAAAAGTGTTGCTTATGAGAATATTGAACAACTTAAACTGCATATGATTGTTGTAAGTAAACTATTTTTATCTAAAATGATGTAGTTTAAATTTTTGTTGAAATTCAAGAGTCACAATTTAGTTGATAAAGAATCAGAGCAATCAGAGAATACAACTGATGGTGAGCTACTCAATGATGAGCTTCTAAAGAAAATGGTCCACAATCATGAGACAGCTGATAAAAAAGTCAAGTGTATGATTAAAGGCTGTGATAATAGCTTTGCAAGCAAAGAAACCATGCTAAAACACATGGAATATCACACGGAGGGCATGAAGAAGCGTTTCAAATGTTTAAAATGCGATAAGTTGTTTTTCATTTGGAGGACGTGCCGAGCACATATTTGGAAGGCGCATAAAATCGATGTTGGCCTGTATGAATGCTCAATGTGCAAGTCATTCAAATGTCTTGCTCCATGTAATTAAGCATAAAGCTATCTAATATTAATTTCCATATTCCTTAATTTATATATTTTCTAGATGATTTGTTGGTACATATGAAAATTCATAGTAATCCTAAGAATTTCAAACCATTTCTATGTTCGACGTGTGGAGAGCAGTTTAATCGTATGGCAGAGTTACAAAATCACTCAAACTCGCATGTTAAAGCGAAAGCCTGGGACGTAAACTGTCGAATTTGTGATAAATCGTTTGCAAACTTCAAGTATCTTAAGAGGCACATACAGTCAGTACACGATCAATACAAACCGTTCGTTTGTAATATTTGTGGGCATAAATGTGCGAGAAAATCAATGTTAGACGTGAGTAAAACTCATTTCTTTGCGTTTGAACCATGTACTAATGTTGTTGCTATTGATATTTGATATTTCAGTTACATTTGAGGCAACACACTGGCGAGAAACCTTATAAATGTGAACTTTGTGATTTTAAAACTGGCGATCATAATTCATTCAGAAGGCATGGCCTACGACACTCAGGGGTATGTTTATTTCAAAATTATTTGCGCATAACTACTTCATTTTGAATAAAATTTTAGTTATCGAATTACTCATGTCAATATTGTAAATACGTGACAATCCAAAGCAACGCGTATAAGTTACATATGAAAAAGAAACATCCAGGTAAAGGAGGCTTCTTTAGCTGTGCAACTTGTCCGTTTAACAGCGTTAATGAAAAATTATACCAACAGCACGTTGAGAAACATAAAAGAGAAAAACCATCATCTCCACGTAAGTTTATGTTCTAAGTCGATTATTAATCTGTGATTGTACGTTTAATTCCACAACTATTCTGTGGTTTTTTAGCTTCAGAAGAAATAGCGATCCTTGATAAAACAAAAGACTCAACAGTGCCAAACCTCGAAGACGAAGAAACGCAAATAGGTCTGTTTGCAGATCATCTAGAAGACACAGTAGATACTGGAGGAATTACAATCCCAGCTGTGGAAACTAACTCAACCTAAACGAAATTTTATAGAATATTTTCTGTAACAAGTTATGTTTTATTCTGTGTGTAAAAGACCAATATTTCTAACATGTTTGAATTGTGAATTCTTTTTTAAGAGATGAACTTACATTCCGACAATAGGCTTCGGCCGATGTTTGAATATAATCTTTTTTGTAACTATAGTTTGTACAACAAACTCAGTATCATCGTCGGATTTTTCCCTTTTAAGTAAAGCCAAAGGATGATCCAGCGGCATTTCCTTGCCAAGCAACAAATGATGACCGATAATCAACAACGGCGTTCCGGTTTTTGTAAAGTGCAGATCGCCAACGTACTGAGATTCATAGGATTCATCTCCGCTTGATTTCAAATCACCCTGGAGTTCGATGATGGCGTATGATGAATCCAATTGATCCGCACTAGAATTAACAAAAATACACTTAACATACAGGTAAAAACTAATCATAACAAAATTTACAATAAATTATGTGTATCGGAATTTTTTAAACAAGGGATGTTTGTTAGTATTCGCGCCTCGCTTTTCGTAGTAAATTGCTTCGTCTGCACCAGACATCGAACTCATGTGCCCAGTTTTCCTGGATGCAGAACCTCGTGGTCCTACTTCACCAGGCACTCTTTCATCTTCACAGTCAATGTCACTGGCAGCCAAAACCTAACAACAAAACTACACATTAGAAAAATATTCCAGAACTAATCTACAAACAAAAATTTAACATACTTGTTGTAAAAGTTGTCCTTGTTCTTCGCGAGTTTTATACATGATATCTGGTTCATCCTCCATCCCAGCTAATTTAGTAATAACTTTATAGCTGTACCCTTGATTAACCAAAAACCTCTGTCGCTTTCTCGAATAATTCATCTCCATTGTATCTTGCGACACCAACGTATAAAAGAATGCATTATACTCTTCAGCAATCGCTCCTTTCTTAGCTCTCAAAATCCTACCCAATCTCTGTGCCTCCTGTCTTCTTGATCCACCATGTGAAGATATCTGAATCAACACATTGGCTTCCGGCAGATCAAACGACGTATCAGCGACTTTACTCACAAAAATCGTGTTGACTTTCTGGTTGAATTTGAAATTTTGCAAGATTTGAATACGTTCGCCCTGCGAAGTTGGTCCATAAATATAAGGCTTATTCATTTTAATCGCATAATGTTTCAACGCAAACACATTATCAGAAAATACAATTGTTTTATCACCACGCCGTTCGTGATATTTAATGAGATACTGTGTAGCTCTAAATTTATGCGGATTCATTACATAGAGCAGTACACGTTTACTCGTGCGACATATAAGATACTCTCTGTAGAATTCGGGAGTCATAGGACACAAACTTCGGCACATTGCACACGAGCAATGAATCCTCTTTTCTGTAACTCCAACCAATTAGCTTCATACAGCTTAGGTCCAATGAGGAAATTCAAATCGGCGATTTTATCATCTTCACGAAGTAAAGTAGCAGTCAGACCAAGTTTTGAGTGTGATTGTACAATAGTCAAAACTCTACGAAACATTTTCGCTGGAATTGTGTGTACTTCATCAAGAACCATAATTCCCCATTCTTGTTCCTGCAGCCATTTCATAGTCTGCTCAGCTTCCCACGACCGACGTTGAGTGTGCGTGATCATAGAATATGTTGTAATTAATATTCCACAGCCCATTGGTTTATCTTTTGCTTCCGAAGTAAAACGGCAGATCATGCTGTCATCTGCCGTGCTCCACATTTTAAACTGTTGCTTCCATTGTTCAACAGAAACGCCGGAATTACACAAAACTAATGCGCGTTTCCGCACTGTACAGCAAGCTGTTACACCAACCAATGATTTACCAGCACCACATGGTAATACAATAACTCCTGATCGTGCACGACCATTGCCAAACATTTTTCGTAGACTTTTCTCTTGATAAGGTCTTAATACTGCTGAGGGTTTAAGGTCGTAGTTTATATCTGGATTGACTGTATCATTACGAAAATCGTACTCTGCTAGTAACGGATGTTCTAATTCAATGCAACGCTTTTGTATAACTTCAATCTTCTCCTGATTCACTTCAAAGAGACAGTGTTCAGTGATACTTCTTCATCATCTTCCTCATTGTCAAGTTTATCATAAAAGTTAGTAATGTCATCTGGGACTGTACTGGAACCTTCTTCATTTGTATTAGGTTTAGCACTGCTACCAAAACTGGGAGCTGTGACTTTTTCATTTATGTTGGTTTGTAATTCATCCACATCATCAGCACTTCTTCTCAATCTGCACTCTTGTATCACAGGATCTTTTAACAACTTCTGCAAGATTTCTGGATGTGGACTCTCAACAAAATACTTGTTGTGTTTTAAGACCAGCTTGACTTTACCATATGAAAGTGTACAAAGTTCAATAAATTGTATGATTCCATCTGGGACAGTGGTTTTACTCAATCTCTTAAGATATTCAATGATATCATGTGTTTGTAGACCAACTGACACAGCAGCATAGAGTGAATATGCTGTAAGTTTGTATTCATGGACAAACTCCGGGCGGCATACAGGTTCGGAAATAGCAATTAGAAAATCGTGCGCGTGTTTATATACTGGTGAGAATGATTCAAGAAAGATGTGGCCATTAGGAGCAACCCACAGTGGACGTGAACTGTGGTCGGGTTTGAGGGTCATTTCACTGCGGTAGTCTTTAGCGCCGAATTCATCTTCTTTGGATGTTTGATCACTGGTTTCGGCATTACGTGCCGCTGCGCCGGGGACGGCTGCACCGCCGTCGGGGCCATCGTTGGTGTCATCGTCGTCGAATTCTCGCAGTGCGGCGGCTTCCTCTTCTTCCTTACGACGTTTTTTAGATGATTTGCTTTCTTTTGAACTACCGGACCGTCTAGGTGGGCCCATTGTCTCGGTTTGCAGTTATTTCAAATATTGCACCACACTGCACGACGCAATTACAGCGAATGGGATGAATTAGTTTGGGGTTAGGATTTATAAGCAGGATACACACTGCTCTCGAAACTTCAAACAAAATATTTTTGTTGACGCATGCGTACTTATAAATAACCGATGCAAAAATACAAGAAAATTTGAGAGTATTCAGTAATTTCCTACATGCTTCTAATTAATTGTACAAACGGTGCGAGAATCTTATCAAATGAGTGCTGTAAACCCAGATTTTGCTTTTAATTCATCATCTACCGACACATACACAAATGCATAAAATAACCGCCGTTACTTGAATAGAAATATGCTTCAAATTAGTAGCTTTCCCTTTATTTTTGCGAATCTTTTAGAATTCACTACATTCACCTATTTTTATTTCAATTGTTTTAACTACTGCCATAATATGTGACCTAACAAGTCAACAATTCTGATAAATGATGAAAATTTGACGTAAGGTTGTGAAATGCGCGCGTTTTCCAGTTGATCGGCAAAATCCCAAGTAACGCAAGTAAAATGGAACGATGAGGGCAAAAAAAAAGTACTCACAGCTTAATCAAAATCGGCATTATCGATCCTCATCCACCTTCACCTTCGTAACATGAGCAGAATCGTGCATAAACCAAAATAAAAATCAACATCAACACTCATCAACTCGCACCATTACCGGTCGACTTTGACAAGAACAAGTCACGTAACCTATAAAGTCATGCACTTGAATTCCATCGGTAGGCACACGAGTGGAAAATAAAAGCATTAAACTCATCACAAGGAATTCAAATTCCATAATATGCCTAATACGTGACCAAAGAAGTATTTTAATCATTACCATTTGATATGTCACCACGAGTGAGCCACTTAGACAACGAACAATGCCGGCAGTGCACCAGCTTCGCTGATTATATGAAAGAGAATAAAAAACGTCTTGTAGAGGAACAAGACCGACGAAAAGGACAAGGCGTATGTGTAAGCACCCCTTTTCTTCCTTAAACCAGTAAACTATAATAATATTGTTGCAAACTTTGGTAATTTACTAAAATTCCATTTAAACTTTAAGGAATTTGTTGAAAAACAAATCAAACTTAAGTTAATATTCTCTACAGGATGCTGAAGGTGCTGTTGGATCCAGACGACCGGATTGTCCTCTTGATAAGGACGAATTAGGCCAGAAATCATGGGGTTTACTACACACAATCGCCGCCAAATATCCGAAGAAACCAAATGACTCAGATAAACAGGACATTAAGACATTTTTCAATGTATTTGCAAAGTTGTATCCATGTTCCCACTGTGCAGAAGGCCTTAGAGAGGAGTAAGACTTCAAAAAACATGCATTACATGAAAAATAATTTTATAATGTTAACAGTTTGAAAGAACATCCAATCAGAACCAATAATCAGGATGAGTTGAGTCAATGGCTGTGTGAGATACACAACAGGGTAAATTTAAAGATAGGAAAGCCGGCTTTCGACTGTTCCAAGGTCCACGAGCGATGGCGGGATGGATGGAAGGATGGATCATGTGATTAATTGAGTATAGCTAGTAGAGAATATTTAGGCGCAAATAAACATACCGCGTACTTGTTTCACCATTTATATAATTGCGTTTTCTTGCTTAGTCTACTGAGCGTAGCGGTGTGAATACCTCGTAATCTGCAACGCGGAAGTAATAATCACCCATCAGGACGGATTGAGAGGCGCTTTCACCGTCGTAAGTATGTGGGAGGTTTGAGTAGGAATCCATGTTGGTATTGCAGTTGCTAGAAATGAGTAAATCGGCTCCTGCGCCAAAAATCGGACCAAAACTGAAAAAATGTTTCTGCATCAGTTTTTGAAGTAACAGATTGGCGGCCATTTTGTTTTATGCTTATACATACTCAGGATGATAACAAATCGCGACAGTTTTCTTCTTAATATGAAATTGAGTTGGTGGAACATCCTTATTATTACATAGTGTAAACAAAAACGCTTTATCCGAAGTAGCGTAGTGATGACTCTTCCCCGGTTGAGTCTCCCATGCGGCATCACTGAATCCACCGCATATCTCTCCCTTGGCACCCAATACCACAACATATATTGGCGCTACACCGTCACAATGCCCGTGAAAAGCAGCCGCAGAGTATCCATGCGTGCTCGCCCTATAAACCAACCGCCAAGCCTGTTTTGGATTGGCGTACCAAGCATTTAAAATGCGCTGGTAGTGACTTTTGTCCTGACCTAGTATCAAAGAGCCTGGAAAAAGGTGTTTGGAGACGCGAGGTTTTAAGCGTTGATCTTCGCTGCCTTCGGAGAATTTGTTGGCGAGCGCCGCGTGCCGATAGCGCTCTAGACTGAGTTCCATTGGCACCGCTCCAGTCGGCTCCACTTCTTCGGCGAACACTTGACTGTCGATTAGTAATAAACGGACGTGATTTATCACTTGCGCTAGGTGCTGGCAGACTCGCGCGCGTTCTTCTTCAGTCCAGTGAATTGTGGGTTGCGTTACGCCGGCTTGGTATTTCGCCCAGTTTAAGGCTGCTCGCCAAACGTCTTCTTCTTCCATGCATAACTAAAATAACAATAGATAATTTTATATTATGAAGTTTAAAGTTCTTAAATCTTGATTATAGTTTTCAAAATTGAAAAGGAATGGGTGAATACTTACATAATCTGAAGAAATCAACTTGATAACAGCATCCTTCTTCAGTTGAAGAAACGAATTGGTCTTTACACATTCTATTGCATTTTCTCCAATGAAACTGATGCACCTGTCAACAAAAGCCACTGCTGCTTTGCCTCCTACAGTAAAAGAAGAAATAATTAAACAACTTTACCATTTACATACAAAAGATTTATTCTACTAGTTAAAATTACAGCTTATTGTAAGTAAAACTTAATTTAACTTAAATGTAATTGCTTCAAAATAGTTTTTAAGGTTGTTGGAGGTTGGAAATCAAGCAAGTGTTGGAGTAACGCCCTGAATCAGCGTAATATTATCGCCTTTGAGCATAATTCGTCCTAATTGTCTTCGGTTCTTAGTTTTCGTGTAATATTCTTCTGCGTCGTCTAACACCAGATTCATGTACTCGTCGAAACCGACAATGTGCCCCTCAATTCGCAAGTTAACGTTCTCGTACAGCCAAACTTGGACGCGTGAGCGATTCTGGAGGTAACGGAAGATAAGGTTGATGGGTTGGACCATCACCTTCTGTACTTTCGGTGGTTTGAATGCCATTTTAATTTGTTTTCTTATAAATTAAAGTTTAAACTTTCGGAAAACTGTTAGCGTTGTGCTAACGTCGCGTGAACGATCAACAAGAAGCCGACTTTTTGAGGTTATCCGGCGTTGCTTGAAACTGCTTGCAACTTAACGCGGTGTTGTCGGTGTTTCAAAAGTAAATTTGATTTAAACATGATTACAAATAGTGAAATTTAAAACTATTTTAACGTGAAAAACAGAAGAACAATTAGAACAACAACCACTTTGTCTATAAAATTAAGTTTTACTTGTATAAAGTTTCACAACAAGCAAGAAAAAGAGACTGCGATGGCCGGGAATCGAACCCGGATCAACTGCTTGGAAGGCAACTATGCTGACCATTACACCACCATCGCACTTGAAAGCAGTCATTCAAATATCTAAGCACAAACTAATATTAAAAAAAAATTGTACCAACCTCGAGACCTTTCTCTCATTTCCATCGCTGCAGCCATCAAAGTGCAAGCCGAAGCTTCAGATAACGTGGAAGTTACGTGATCTTCACACGCATTACGCAGTTCTTCAACACCCAATTCTTGTGCTAGTGTTAACATCTCAAAAACTCCGCTGTCTTGTAACAAAATCTAAGAAAATCACATGGAAAATTTTCAACGTTAAGACGCCATCTTGTTTGTTTGATTTCAGGAAAAGAGAGGTATAAAAGTAAGTGTAGAAACTTGTTACCCTTCCAGTGTACACATAAAGCATGAATTGTTTGAAGGTTTCAGGTGGTACTTGAGGCAATCTTATCGGGATCGGTGTACCTGGCGCACTTGGTGACACCGAACAACCCGGTATTCTGCATATTTCACCCCTTTTAGCTGTTTGAAAACTCTTGCACCTGTAAAGATCAAAGATCTCATACATTCAAGAGGTTAACTATTCATATAAGTGTCTAATTAATCTTTCTACTATGATTTTTTATTTCCATAATTCAAAATGACGACCAAAATTTTTTGTGATTCAAATCTGATTAAAATTCATCAGCGTGATTGAAAGCAGCGGGGGTGCGAAACGAAAATTAATTAAAACAGCAGATAATGAACTTTATTAATCGCCCGAAAGGCGCAAAGACGGAAGATAGAAAAGTTCAGTGGTGTAAACGGAAATTTTACATTTATCGCCACCCCCCCGCCTACTTCCGTCGGCCACCCGCCAGGGGGTACCAATTCGCGCGCAGTTAATTAACTTTTTATGCGAAAACCGGACACACGCAGCACAGTCCCAGTTTCACAAATTTCACAAAGTCACTGCGCAAAGGGCAGCTTCCTCTGTGCTCTGTGATTCCGCAACAAACAGACCGCGATTAACGAGCGTCGGACACAGCACTAATTAACCTTTGGGGAATTTCATCAATCGGACGCCGGGACGCTTTGTGCGCACGTTCGGTAATCAATGAAATTCCCAAAACGTCCCTTCGAAATTGGTGCCAAAATGGATGTGATTTTAGCGCAAGCAATTTGTAAAAATTACCACTACCAACAAATACCTTGCCATTAAAATAACGCGATGTGCGAATACGCGTTCTTCTTCCCTGCCTAAGATGAAAACAATATCCGCCGAATCGGCGTCCTCGGAAAGTCTCTTCAAGTCGTCGAGGAGGCGCGGGACGCCTGCCAACGCTTTGTCTGCCGGAAGCGAGCCACTACCGCGAGAACTCATTGTGTGCCACTTGTTTACACTCTTTATTTATCAACTAACACCCAGTCACTTGTAGTTTGCAAGTAATTTTAGCACAAAACTCAAAATTAACGAAGTAAAACGCAGGATTTATTACATATTTTACACTTTAACACAAGCAGACATTGTCACATCATAAATATAACTAATTTCTTTGTTATAATTGCTGTTGTTGTTATTGTTACACAATTTTAAAGAGTAGTCAATGTTATGTTATGGAATACAAGAGAGTCGCGAGGTTAGAATCTCAGTTTGGGACGAGAACAAGATCGCATTCTTTAACTACCTGTTTTCGTCCAGCGCGTTGCCGTCTTCGTCTTGCGGACTTCTTTGATGGCCGAAGACCAGACTTTCAAGTCTGCGATTCACACAATAACACATACGCACAGTTGTATCAAGCATCACAATGCTTATTGAATTAAAGTACAACAAAAATTACATTTAATTAAATTTAACTTTCAATGTATAATAATTATTTTAACAGCACAATGTATATGTAGGCAACACTTACTTCTTTCTCAGTAAAACGTTACATGTAGGTTTGGTTGCATAACTTAAAAATTAGAACCGAAAAAAACATGAGAAACTCAAGCTTTAAGTAAAAATATTTCACAGTTAATGTACTACATTGATATTTTCATTGTTTCTCCGATATAAAATTTTCTCAAAAACAAATACAACAAAAGCAATATTTAATCCACAAATCCAAAGATAAAATGCCAGTGATAAATGTTCCATTTTCAAAATATGATGCATGGCCTTTTCTACAAATTTAATTTTTTTCTCTCGTTTTATGCTAAGTCCATGATAAAAATGGTCCAAAAACATATTACTAACACCACTAGCTCTTATCCAATTCATCACTTCATTATACCCTTCATACATTGGATGTCCCTTTATAAAGTAGTGAGGTAAATAATAATGATTCAACTTTTCTTCGATTGTTTGAATGCCTATATCGACACGATTTCCAAATATTCCATACACTTTAACATACTGCAACAAACTTCTTGTCCCAATCGAAACTAAATCTTTTTTTGCAACAATACGCATGTAATTCAGCGTATATTCATTATACACACTAATGGCAACATTCCTTTCATAAACAATCTGCCCAATTTTACCACCGGTATTGCGATATAAGTTTGCATTTGAACTCATCATAGAAATATTAATATTTCGGTCAATAATATCTTGTAGTGAAGAAATGGGAGCTTCACGATTTGTATATGTCATTGTAACAATCAATCGAGCTTCCCAACAAACATTTATCATGAAGATAAACAACCAAGTAAATATATAGAGGGTTTTTATAGATTTTCTTCTTGGATTGTGAGGTGGAACTTCATTGAAAAGAAACCTCAAGGGCATCACACACGAATTCCAAAACGGACGAAAGAATCGTTCTTCTTCAGGAGCAATTTTGCCAAAAATTCCCCAGAAAATGCACGAAATTACAATCATACCAGCAATACTAGCCCATATATGAGGTGAAAATAACCTGGTCAAATTCATTGTATGCGAAACAATCGGTGGAGTAGGTACATACCAAATTGTTTCATCGTCAATGAAAGGATATGTAATATCAAAATCAATCGCGAGCGGTACCAGTGTCAATTCAAGTCCACCTAAAGCCAAATCAGCTTCGCGATTGTAAAGACGATTAAGTAATAGTGTATATGATCCATTGACGAGACTACCATAACCTCTAAATTCAAAAATGTATTGATGATGAAATTGAAAATAAGGTTGAAATACAAATTCCATAAGTCTGTAATCTATACCATCGTATTTAATACCATCTAGGTAATCTAAAAATGGTGGTTTTGCGTTTGTCATTACTATTATTGATGAGTTACGCCATGTTTTTGGTACTTTGTTGGGGAAATATTCACCAATTTGTATTAGGACCGGTGTTAAGTCTGGTTTGTTAATATTTTCTTCTTTATAAGGATAATAGGTGTAAACTAATGAATTACTCGTGATAATGATTACGTTGTAGATGTAAAAATCTTTTAAATATTTAAACAAATCTTCCAAAGATGATTTTGTTTGGTTTGTGAAGTAAATAATGAATTTTGCTCGTGAATTCCATTCGTGTAGTTGTTTTAACATATCGATAATAGTTGTGGATGTAATAACCAAGAAGTAGACGTTAACTGGAATGTATCTTGTCCAAAATGGTTCAAATGTTGCGTAATTACGCAAATTATAGTTGTAGATTAGTTTACTATAATTTGTTATTAAATAATCCAAATTTAAATGGTTGTTATCAGATGCGTACATCATTCTGTCCATTGGTGACACACAATTTGTCAAAATATTTTTTATTTTCTCTTCTATTTCTTCACTTTTTTGATTATTTGATGGTAATATGATATTTTTGTCAGCTGAAGCCATTTTTATTAATATTAGATAATAAAATATTTTGGATTCCATTTCGAACAATTTTTTCGTAGCAATAAACCTAAATTTTACATTTTTATATTTTTATATGATAATAGAATTATGATTCCAGTTATTTTGGTAAAGTTTTAACGACGCTGATAAATATTTAATCCATAATTCAACTTTAATAAAACTAAAACTAGTTTAAAAAGGTTTTAATATTTTTTTGATGGTTATCATCATTATAACTTGCGCATTTTGAGTATATACTAGTGCAATTTCTTTGTTTCTTTCAAAGCAAGCGAGTTTCACGCTGTGCAATAATGCAACACACAATTTTAACAGGATATGGCCGCCATTGAATTGTAGCGACGCGCGACGTTCGATTTATATCGCCTCAATGACGTTCGATGTTCGATGGGTTTGATGTATATTTTCGCGTCGTGCAAAAACTCGAGTGCTTGGGGTGCGGGAAATGAGAAAATATGGCATTTCTATGGCATTCCATTCACTTCCTCATTCGTTACCACCCGTCGCCACCCCCACGCAACACACGTCCAAACGGCATGAACGCAAACAGAAATATATTAAACGGATGTGAAATGCCATTTTCAACTTGTATGCGTTGGACAGTGCAATAACAAGAAGGACGTTCAATGACTTTAATCATTTCGCAATTTGAAGACTTGCAAGTAAAGATTTGCGAAAACGGAAATAAAATATGCATGAGCTTCACTCTTGGCTGATTTGACTGACAAATTCGATGAATGCAAGTGCATAAATATTAATGCACCCTCTTGGAATGCATTTCATTGTCATAATGAACATGTTTCTCGTTCGTTACTTTCGACTCACGAACAACCCCGGCTTTAATTGCGAGGACAAATCGATATGTCACTGGCATTCGCACATTCGCCGTCAATTAAGAGAGCTTCACTGGATGAGTTCACAATCGGCATCAAATGGAGTCCAGGAATCGTGCAGATGTTCGTTGTGTGCTAACGCTTTGTGATTGTTGGTTGAT